GTTTATCAAGTGTAGGAAGATTAAGAGATAATGAGTTGGTAAGTATATCATTATTAGTGTTAATTGATAGTCTAAGTAATTTTTTAAATTGTTTGGTAAGCATGCTTGAAAGTTTTTTAGTTTGTTGTTGAGTAAGTGAAGAAATATTTTAAAGATAGAGAGAGAATTGTATTAAATAGACGAGAAAGTTGTATAGGAAGTAATTTTTTATATTGAATAAGTTTGATAAAGTTTTCTATTTTGCTAAATATTTTTTCAATAGTAGGTTTATTAGACCCTGTTCCATCATAAAATATACCCAAATATCTTATAATTTCTTCAGGTTTTTTTGGTATAATAGTTGTATTATCAAATAAAACAGAATTTGTAGTAGTTTGTTGGTTAAATACTGAGTTGTTATTAGGTATACGGGAATTTGTTTTGGGTTTGATATGAAGTAGATCTAATTTAGTTGGATTAACTTGAATATTATTAATTTTGTAAAGTTTTAATATATCATCAAGTAGATTTTGAAGTGAGTCTTTGCTTTTACAAAGCCAAACTATATCATCCATATAGGCAAGTAGAGGAATTGTGATAGATAATATTTGTATTTGAAATATTTGGTCAAGTGGAGATATGCTTTTAATTTTGAGAAAGGATTCTTGATGTTTGGTGTTTGGTGTTTATATAGGAAAGAATTGGATCATAGTATATTTTCTACAAAAGTGGAGAATATGTTTCTCCTTGCTCTATTCCTGTATTAAGTGTGATAGAATCTGTAAGGCCATATGTTGTGATAATTTTTGCTTTGCGGTTAGTGTGTAAATTAGTAATAAAGTTTATAGCATTTTGTAGGATGCCTATTCTTCTATATACATCACCTAATCGAGAAATATTTATTCTGTCAAAGGCTTTCAACATATCTTGAAATAGGATCCATACTTCTTTGTTATTAAGTTTGTAGTATTCGATAGTATTGTGTAGAATTTGTATTGGTGTATATGTTGAGGTTTTAGAAGTAGCAACAAAGTTTAAATTGCTGATAAGATTGTTTGTATTAATAGTATTGTTAAGTCTTTTTGTAAAGATTTTGGTAAGACATTTTTTAAGAGGTTCAATAAGTAAAATTGGTCGGACTTGCTCTAGTATAAAGTCTCATTTGTTCTTTATTGGTATTAGAAAGATATTAGAGGTTTTCCAGTTAGTTGGGACTGTTTGGAGATATAGACATTTGGAGAGAAAAGAGCAAAAAATGTTTTGACTAAGTAGTGAGGTGTGTTTAATATATTCATAGCTAGTACTAGAGGGTCCTGAAGCTTTTTGATTAGGTAATTGATTAATTGTTGTTTGCTATTTATTTTATGTGATTTCTGTGAGAATGTTATTATAGAGATATTCAAGCTCGGGGTGTGGCTGGTATAAGGTATAAAATTTTGAGTCAGGAGTTATATCTGGAAGTGGTTGATCTTGAAAATAGGTTTGGAAATGTTGTTGAGTAGCAGATTTGATTTCTTCTGGGTTAGTAAGTAAAGAATTGTTAAGTAGAAGTCTGTCCAATAATACATTGCTATTAAATCTTTTTAAGACTTTTTTGTAAAATAATTTAGAGTTTTGAATGAAATTAGTATTACGTTCCTGTAATTTGTATTTAATTTCAGGGGCAGTATATTGTTGTTTTTTTTGTTCTAGAAGTATTTTAATTTGTTTGATTTCCAATTTGAGAATATTTTTTATAGTTGGGATATGAATAAGAGTTTGTATATTAGTAAGATTAAAGAGTGTATTGTTTGTGTATTTGTTATAATAGTTTGTAATTAGTTGAGGAAGTTTAGGAGATTTGATTAGTTTTTTAATTGTTGATATGTGTTTGTATTGAAGTTGAATAAGTGTGGGTTTGGTATAAAAAGGGTTAAGATTGTTTTTGATTTTAATTTTTTTGTAAGGAATATGTTTAAGGGAAGCTTTTGTAAAGATTTTGTTAATTGTTTCCCAAGTTTTATCTAGTTCTACTTGGTTTTGAATTTGTGGAATATGTAAGCGAATTTTAGTTAAGTTTTGATCTATATGTGTTTGGTATTTTTGGATTTGTTCAAATGATACTTGTTTCCAAAGAGAGATTTTCCTAGGAGGTTGTTTGTATGAAGAAGAAATTGTTAATAGAATAGAAAATTCAAGTAGAATAATATTGTGATCTGATTCTATTGTAGTATCTTCAATAATATCTGCATAGTCCAGAAAAGCTATATGCATATTTGGTCAATTCTACTATGACTATTATTGTGACTGAAGGTAAATTTTATAGAATTGGAGTAAAAGAGACGAAAGATATCATGCATGTGGGGAATAAGAAATTTAATAAGTTGTGATTCTGGTGTTTGTATTCTTTTTGCTGAAGAATGATCTAATTTGGGATTGGGTGTTGCATTAAAATCACCCATTAAAATTATTTTATGGGTAGTTTTTTGTATAAGTTTAATTATTTGGTTTGTTATTTCAGTTTTTAGTTGCTTTTTTTTTTGTGTTGAAAAATAGACTTAGATAATACGAAGTGGATTGTTTGAAAGAAAGAGATCTAGACAGATAATATGTCCTTGATATTCTTGTATACATCCAATAAATTTAAACAAGTTAGTGTGAATATAAATTCCAACACCTCCTTTTCTTGATATAATGGGTGAGCTCCAAAAGTTTGAAAAATTAGTAAGGCTTTGTGTAAAAGGTAGAGGATTACTTTCTTTTTCAGTTAGATGTGTTTCTGATAGACCAAAAATATCAACATTATTTTCTATAATATAGTTATATATAAGTAATTGTTTAGAGTTGGTTGAGAGGCTATTAGTATTGAGTGTACAAATTTTGATAGTTTGAGAAGTTAATATAGCATTGTTGTTAAAAGAAGAAGTATTTGCTTGTGTTTGAGAGTTATTATAAGAAGTATTAAAGGAAGATGAGATAGAAATAGAATCAGAAGAAGTTATTGATTTAATAAAAGAGTTATAGTATGCTGGAAATTGATATGGCAGTATAATTCTATGATTCATTAAGAGTTGATCATTAATATCAAGGTAAATATGTGTTTTATATATATATATATTAAGAGATATTTTGTAGGGTTTGTAGAAAGTTTGTTTTAGGAGATGATGTAAAAAGGATTTAAGAGTTTGATTAAAGTTAAGTAATGGGAGGTTATGTTTTTGAAAAATTTGTTATAGCAAGTTTCCTTAGAAGGATATGATATAATGTTGTCTGAGGAGGGGTTTTTGTCTTTTACAAGGTCGTTCACTATTTTAGGCTCGGCTCTTATAGCTGTGCAGGTATTTAAAGTCTGCCCTGTGCATTGGGTCTGACCAACATTATCATATAAATAGGCTTATCTATCTGCCTACTTACATCATTCTCCTTATTAACTACAGAGAGTGTATCTTTTAATAAAGTGGTGGCTGCATTTATATTGTTTGTAAAAGACAAAATTAAAGAAAAGAATGATCTAAGAATAAAGATTCTAGATCAGTAGTTTGAATAGGTTGGAAGTTAAGATTGAATTTTCTTTTAGTATTTTTTCTGCCTCTGGATAAGCAAATTCTTTGTAGTACTTAATAGTTTGAGAAAAGGTATAAGTTTGTTTTTGAATACAGTCAAAATAGGTTATAATTCTAGCTAGAAAGTGGGTATCAACAACAGTATGAATAGCTTGAGTTATTGCTAATTGTTTAGAGTTGTTAGGCATATTGTGGTTTTCTAGAGCTATTTGATGATATTTGTAAAAATAGACTCTACGACGGTTTGGACTTGTGGTGATATTCTTCTGTTTACAGACTGCTTCTTTAGCTGTCTTTGCTAAGTCTTCAAGTAGTTTAGTAGGTATGGTTGTTTTGAGGGTAGCTTTATAAGTTTCATCAAAATGAAAGATAGATGGATCAAGAGTAGGTTCTTGAAGTATTTCTGAATCTTTTTTTGGTATATTGTATAAGATTTATCAAGTATATCTTTGTATAGTTGGTTTTTTTTATGAAAAACTTTTTCTGTTAGATATTTACAATCTTTATCATTGCAAGTTAGCATATGATAATTTATAGCTTTGGTAGCTTCATGTTGACATTATAGTGGTTTATGTAGTTCTTGGAATTCAAAGTTAGATGGTAAATATTTGTATAATTGAATAATGAATTGTTGGCGTATTTTATTTTTAAGAAGAAGATAAGTTTCTTTTTCATCAGGTGGAGTATTAAATTGACATGAGTAGGCTGGAAAGAATTTGTTGAACTATTCTTTGTAGATATTTAGTGAATTTGTTAAGGGTGGGGTACGGAAGGTTTGTAGAAAAAAAGTTTCAGGAATATTAAATAGAAGTTGAATATTGAATTTTGAGTCTGATTTAATTTCAAAATATGGTCTATGCTTGTAATAGATGATTCAATTTTGGGATATTTAGGTCTAAAATCAAAGTCTTTTTCAAATTTTCTGTAGTTTATAGATTGATATTTGTTTGAAAGATAGAGATATAGTCGTGCAAGGTTTAAACAGAGATGAAGTCAGTTTTGTGTTTTGTAAGGTGAAACAGTGGCAGGTGAAGCAAAGATTTCTTTGTAGTTAAGTTTGGTGAAAAGAACTGTAGTAAATTGTAAGATAATTGTGTGGAGTGTTGTTTCAAGATAGTCAAAAGGAATAGTTGTATCTGGACTAATGTTTGGATTATATTCATGAATTAGATCTATTAAAAACTTAGGACGCAAGCCAGCCATTGAACGAAGAAAATGTTTAAAGGAAGCTTTATAAGTTGGTTGGTTTTCTTTTTCTGGTTTAATTTCTCTTCCAGGAAAGAAGTTGTAAAGATGATTTTTAAGAAATTCAAAGAGATGGTGAGAAAATTTGGTTTGAAGTTTTTTGTTTGGTTCCATTTCTTGGGTAATTAGAAAGTTAAGTAGCCAATCATATGATGGATTTGGTTTAGCTTTAGGTTTAGATTCAATTGGTTGTTTTGAGTTAGGTTCAGAGATATTAGATGAATTTTGTGTATATTTAATAGCTTTTTTGTTTTTAGATGTAGTGGGAGATAAATTAGTACTTTTAGAAAAGTTAGTTTGAGTTAAATTTGATGATTGAATAGAGTTATTGTTAGCAAAAAATTGATTAACAGGAGAAGGAGAAAGTGAATGATTGACTTCCATATCAGTGTTAGATTGTGGTTCTTGGGTTGAAGTAAGTGGAAAAAGATTGTTAAGAGGGTTTGGTTTATTATTTTTAACTTGTGATTGAGGTTTTTGAGTCTGATTAGATTTTTGAAAATTATCTACCAAGCTCGATATAGAAGGTGGTTTGGCTTGTGATTTAAATAAGGAAGCAGTTTTAGTTTTTAAATAAGTTACTGGTTTATTTTGTTGTTGTTGTTGTTGTTATTGTTGTTGATGTTGTTATGGATGTTTAGATTTGAATTGATGTAGAAGTTGTTGTAAGTTTTGAGATGTAATAGTAGAAGTTGTAGAAGTAGTTTGGGTAGTAGTTTGATTGGTATTTTGTTCAATGGATGTAGATCTTGATAATTGTTCCATACGTTGTTTTATAACTTCATCAGGTAGTGCAGAGATAAAAGAGACTGAGAAAGAAGTAGAAGCAGCACAGGTAGAGTGGTAGTAGTTTTTGTCTTGTCTAATTGTACCACTTTGAGGTGAGTGCTGATCATTAATTGATTTGCAGTTAATTAGTTGATCACATGTTGGGCATGTATGAGTATGAGAATATGGAGAAGGAGTAGTTGGTATTTCATTAGTAGGTTTTTGTTGAGGGATTGGAGATTTTGGAATAGTTTGGGTTGTATTATTGAGTTGTTGGATAAGTTTTTTGGTTTGGTAACTTGATGTAGTTGGGTCTATATTATGTTTAAAATCATAGATTTGGTTATTCTGAGCTATAAATTTGGTATGATATCTTTTACAAATACAGGTAATAGTTAAGAGTGAAGCAGGAAAAAAATTTTAACTCTTTGAGCAATACGAAGCTCTTTGTGGAAACAAGCTGTTGGTCGAAAATTTTTTGGAATTGGTAAAATATTTCCTGGATTATCTTTATAGATTGCTATACTATATGTTTTTGATAAAAATAATTAAAATCTAATGTGTCTGGTTCTTGGCTTGTTAAAGTAGGCATAGTAAAGCAAATTTATTGATAAATTAGAGACAGAATTATATCTAGCTTCACAATGGTATAATTTTTGTTTCGTGTAATATTACGCTATAGAAACTTCTAGATACTGTGACTTGTGTAACTACGGCTTGTATCACTGTGGCTGGTGTGGCACAATTTGTATCGCATAACTGTAATTTAATAGGTGCAAACTATAAAGCTTGTGTTAGTTAAATATTTACTTTTTTGTAAATATTAAATTTTAATTAAAAATTAAAATAGAATTGGTGTAATAAGTAGAGAACCACTAATTTTGAGAGGTCTAAAAATAGTTAGTGTTGCACAAAAACGCCTATAGAGTTTTTTGCAAAAAAGAACTTCTTTAAAAAAAAGAAAAAACCTTAAGAGAGTTTAGAAAGTTTTTTGAGTATATTTTTGTCAGTTTTAGGTCTACAAGCCTGAAATTTAGCTCGTTATGACAGCAATTGTATGTTCTTTAAGTTTTTCTAAGCTTGGAAAATATGTTTAGATAGCCGTTTTAAAGTTATTAAGAAATATGTGAGAAAATAGGCCAGGTGGCCGTTTCTTTGTGAGTTTAGAATCTTTAAATTTGATATTTAAGTATTATATATATTTTTTTGTTAGAAATAAGTTTATTTAAGGGCAAAACTAAGATTAACTTAGTAAAAAATAAAGTTATAAAGTGTTTTAAAATAATTAAGTTGGGAAAAGTTTGTGTACAAGTAATAGATAAGGAGAGTTTAAGAAAATTTTTTACTATTATATTCTAAAAATGCTTGGCACAGTTATATATCAATCAAATTAAGTATACGATGTTTAACTATACTTTTCTCATTAATAATAAAATAATTTATATGTCTTAATTTATTTTGTAGTTGAGTCAGTTGCTCCTCATTTATATCTAAGTTACTTTCTAATAATATTAGAAGAAAGAGTAATAAATGAAGTGTTGTCCCACTAATATTAAAAGCAGCAATACTAGTTGGAGCAAGTACTAAGATAGATGGTTTAGATCTATTTGCTACCATTTTATGAAGTAGGCATCGAATTGTCTTTATAAGGTAGATTTTCTGTTTTTGCTATTCTTATTACAATAATTTTTAATGGCTCTGTTTGGTGACCTTCAAGTATACTCTAGTAATATGCCTCTATTCTTTTAAATACTGCTTTTTAAATTTCATTTAATATTTAAAAATTAACAGTATCTATCACATTTTCTTTTAATATACCACTATTAGATGCCTGTTGAACAAAATTTTCGATATTTCTAATTTCAGAATCTGAGTAGCATTTTATAGTTTTATTACACCAATCATAATTAATATCTATTATATGAAATCCAAGTTTTGATAAATTAACTATAATTGTATTAGGATCCATTTTAGCCAAAAGCATCTATTTGTGATATAGCTCTACCTCTTTATCATATCGATCTGTTTACCTTCATCCTCTTCCTCGATTAAATTAATTTCATTATTTTTTACAGGAAAACCAAGTAAATCTATTGGGTTGTTGTTAATTTTTTCAAGATACTGCTCGTATAATCTTGCCTATGAGACTAACTATTTTTGTTAACTGATCAAGATCATTGTGACAAACATAGAGAATAACTTTCATTTTACAAAACTTCTTCCATTAAGAGCAATTGCATAGTAATGATAGCCATGACAAATATGTATGATATTTTTACTTTTGCTTATCTTCCATCGATTATTTACAAATTTATAAATTAAATAAAGCTTATATAGTAAAAAATTTTTAAACTTACTAGATCACTTATGGTATATTTGCAAAGATGAATATGAAGTTAATCCAGTATCATTATTCATATTATTACTAGTATTACAAAGCCATCTAGGTGTTTCTATGTTGAGATTCAGAAAAACAAAAGAATGGCTTGAGTAATAAAGTAGAATTTCAAGAAGAATGTGACAAGTTTCTTGTGCTAATATATCCTGCTCTGCAATACTATGCAGTAGTAATCTCTGAATTACACCAAGTAATGAATTATCAGATTTACTATCATGAAGGATTTGATTTAATATCTCTAAAAATGCTATAGACTGTGGCACTGCTTTACTTGCATATTTGGATATATATTGTAAAGCTGTATAAAGGCTAAGTACTAGTTTCAAATTCACATTTGCTCTTCAATCTTGTGATTAAATTCTGCAATGTAGATTAATAAATAGATCATTTCTTTTGGTTACAAGCTCTGCCTGACCTCAACTATCTTCTTTTACATAGGTCTTTTTACAATTCTCCTTTGGATATCTATATCTACAAAATTGTTAGCCAGCTTTATTTATCTGAAGGCAATACAAAGAGCTACATCAAGTGTATTATTGTAGTTTATTAATAAGGTTGATATAATCTTGCAAATTGTCTTTATTTTATCATAACTTTTTTGACATGGATAATGGTCTGATACAGCTATATTAAGTTTTGAGTTGATTGTAGTAACCAAGTTATTTAGGTACTATATATCATTTTTTATTATATCATCATTTTTCTTCATGTGCTTTTATTTAATTATAAGTACATTTCTTTTTTTTCCTATTCTATATACATGAACTCTACTATAATACTGCATTCAAATCTATACTACCAATCTTCTAAATCCTACAGTAGTTTCAACACTTCTTCAAAAAAAATTTTAAATTGTTTGTTAAAAAACTAACTAACAATATAAGGATTATTAATAACATCTTTACAGAAATTTGTAATTTTTTAATAATATTGTAATTAAGTTGTTGCTAGATTGTTACTAAATTGATACAATTTATTTTTTATATTAATACAAAATTGCTATGACAAAGTTACGATTATGGTAACCACATTGTGATAATATTGTAACAAAATTTAAAATAAATCAAATTGCGATAATGTAAAAATATATTTATGATTATGTAACTAGTTGGTTACTAAATTGATATAATGATGTTTAAATATTAAAATAATATTACTACGATGAAGTTACGATTATAGTAACTACATCGTAACAATATTATAACAATATTGTAAAAACTTTGTGATGGCATTATAACCATTTACCAACAATTAAGCAGCAATATATTCGTGATTTAGTAATTAAATTGTCACAATTTAATAAAAATTTTTCAACAGAATTTCTACTATGTGTTTACAATAATATAACAATTTTATTACAATTATTTTACAATAATACTTTTTTATTATATTCATAATTACAACAAAAATAATACAAATAATAAAGTAACTACAGTAAAATTAATAAACCTATTGAAAAAAAAATATTAAAAAATTATATAAAGAAATTGTCAGAAATTCAAAAAAATATTAAATGATCTGTAGAAAAATCATTAAAAAACCATCACAAGATCGTTAAAAATCGTAAAGAAAGTTTCAACAAACTAAAAAGAACGTTAGAAAATATTAGTATGAATGTCAAAAAAAACCATAAAGAAAGTACTAAATAATCTGTAGAAAATCGTTAAAAATCGTAAAGAAGTTTCGACGAACTAAAAAATATTAGAAAATATTAGTGTGAATATCAAAAAAACTTTAATGAAATATTAAATGATCCATTGAAAAATCATTAAAAAACCATCACAAGATCGTTAAAAATCGTAAAGAAAGTTTCAACAAACTAAAGTACAATAGAAAATATTAGTGTGAATATCAAAAAAAACTTCAAAGAAAATATTAAATGATCCGTAGAAAATCATTAAAAAACCATTACAAGATCGTTAAATAATCATAAAGAGAGTTTCAACGAACTAAAAGAATGTTAGAAAATATTAGTGTGAATGGCAAAGAACTATAAAAAAAGTACTAAATGATATATAGAAAAATCGTTAAAAACCCATCACAAGATCATTAATAATCGTAAAGAAAGTTTTAACGAACTAAAAAAAACATTAGAAAATATTAGTGTGAATGTCAAAAAGAAAGTACTAAATAATCTATAGAAAATCGTTAAAAATTGTAAAAAAGTTCCGACGAACTAAAAGAACGTTAGAAAATATTAGTGTGAATATCAAAAAAAACTTCAAAAAAATATTAAATGATCTGTAGAAAAATCGTTAAAAAACCATCACAAGATCGTTAAAAATCGTAAAGAAAGTTTCGACGAACTAAAGTACGTTAGAAAATATTAGTGTAAATATCAAAAAAAACTTCAAAGAAAATATTAAATGATCCATAGAAAATCGTTAAAAAACTATCACAAGATCATTAAAATCGTAAAGAAAGTTTCAACGAACTAAAGTACGTTAGAAAATATTAGTGTGAATATCAATAAAACTTCAAAGAAAATATTAAATGATCCGTAGAAAATTGTTAAAAAACCATCACAAGATCATTAAAAATCGTAAAGAAAGTTTCGACGAACTAAAGTACATTAGAAAATATTAGTGTGAATATCAAAAAAACTTCAAAGAAAATATTAAATGATCCATAGAAAATCGTTAAAAAACTATTACAAGATCATTAAAAATCATAAAGAAAGTTTTGATGAACTAAAGTACGTTAGAAAATATTAGTGTGAATATCAAAAAAACTTCAAAAAAAATATTAAATGATCCGTAAAAAATCATTAAAAAACCATCACAAGATCATTAAATAATCATAAAGAGAGTTTCGACAAACTAAAAGAACGTTAGAAAATATTAGTGTAAATGTCAAAGAACCATAATGAAAGTACTAAATGATATGTAGAAAAATCGTTAAAAAACCATCACAAGATCATTAAAAATCGTAAAAAAAGTTTCAACAAACTAAAGTACGTTAAAAAATATTAGTGTGAATATCAAAAAAAACTTCAAAGAAAATATTAAATGATCTATAGAAAATCATTAAAAAACCATCACAAGATCATTAAAAAATCATAAAGAAAGTTTCGACAAACTAAAAGTACATTAGAAAATATTAGTGTGAATGTCAAAGAACAATAAAGAAAGTACTAAATGATCTGTAGAAAAATTGTTAAAAAACTATCACAAGATTGTTAAAAAATTGTAAAGAAAGTTTCAACAAACTAAAAGTACATTAGAAAATATTAGTGTGAATGTCAAAGAACTATAAAGAAGTACTAAATGATCTGTAAAAAAATCATTAAAAAACCATAACAAGTTCAAAGAAAGTTTCGACGAACTAAAAGAATGTTAGAAAATATTAGTGTAAATGTCAAAGAACTTCAAAAAAAAAAAAAAAAAAGAATCGTAAAAAGAATATCAAAGTACTATAGAACATTGACAAACCAGAAAACTTGTAGAATAGCTATTGAATAGAATCTCAAAAACCTATAGAGAAAAAGTCAAAAAAAAATAAAAATAAAAAAGCAAGCAAAGTTAGAAAGAACATTCTAAAATTATAGAGAGAACCGTAAGGAATCATGTTCAGAACTATCTTTTTACCGTATTCAAGTTTATGTTTTCATATTTGGCTTTTAGTTGTAGCTTTTTGTTATATTTAGATTTAGCTTCATTATAGAGGAGAGAAATATCTAAAACTATAAAAGAATATAAAAGCCAAAAAAAAAGTATAACAATAATATTAAAAAAAAACGATAACGAAAAAGAACATTAAAAAAAAAATTGATTACAGCTATATAATATTTATTACATAATACTTTAAAAAAAAATACGTACGTACGTACATAAATATATCTAATATATAAAATTATCATTATATCTAAATTCTGGATTACATGGCCAAAGGACATGTGACACAGTTGCCCGCGCAAATTTACAATAAAGATAATGATTATTGTTACTACGTATATGCATATCAGATATGTTATTGCCAAATATAATACAATGTCAAATATTAATATTAATTAAATAGCAGTAAAATAATAAACATTTTTTAAATAGTACATATTTTCTAAATCATGGCTAATCATACATTCACTTGAACATCTATAAACAAAATAAGCTTTTTTTATTTAATCAACTACCAACAATGGGTAGACATATTGCCAATTTCGATTTTTTTCTGATTGAACTTTATAAATTGGGCATTCTAATAAACTATAAACTTGGTTGGTTTTTTCAAGCCAATCAATTACAATAAATAGATAAAAATATCCATTATTGCCTTTATAATAAAAAATTGCTCTCAGTATAGCATAGCTTTCTTCTTCTTCTTCTTGAATAGTTATAATATTACCAACATGTAGTAAATACTTTTTAATAATATTATAACTATTCTCTACCAGATATGTTATACCTTCATAAAAGCTTAGACCTGTATTAATGAGAGCTTCTATATGCTCAAAATCGCAATATGAAAGGTATAACTCTAATCTAAATTCAGAATTATTTATTTAACATGGTACTTTTTCTTCAAGATCTTGTAAATGAATCCTTTTTTTTAATTAAATATATGTTCAATTTGTGAATGTACTAAATAAGCAATATATATATTAGTACGTACATTCATATTAATATATATAGGTAGCTGTCAATAGAAAACTAACTTTCACAGCTTATATTTTAATGAATTTTAAAGATATCTTGATGGTTTAATATTCAAAAGAAAGTTTCTAATCTAAGCTTTCTTTTGAATATTAAACCATCAAGATATCTTTAAAATTCATCAAAATATGAGCTGTGAAAGCTAGTTTTCTATTGATGGCTACCTATATAGTTATATTGAAAATCTAATAACGTATTACTGAAATAAATAAAATAGTAATGACAAGAAAAAATAGCAAATGATAATAACCTTCAATATCAATATCTTCATGATTTAATTGTATAAAATTATTAGTTTTGGTAATAAACCAATCACTAAATAATTTTTTAAAATTTTGCGAAATATTGACAAAGCCTTGATTAGATGTTAAGATTCTGCTATCAACACACTATCAATAAGATGCCGAATAGCAAATAATGTAGTATATTGTTTCAACAAATCTAATTCAATATTCTTGCAATTTGTTTGTGGTACTAGATTTTTAAAAATTCGGTGAACCATTTCTTTAGTACCAACTGAAGTATTTACAAGATTGCTATAAGTATGTGCATGTAATGATAAATGGTTATTAATATGAAGATTCGGAAGATTCTCAAATTCAGCAAAAACCTAATAAAAAATTATATTAACAGACTTATTATAGATTATATACATATAATAATAATAATAATATAAATAAACAATAATTACTTGAGTTAATATTTGACTCTCTGTCTCCAACCATTTTTGAAGATTTTTATAATTATCTATTGAATATGCTTTTTTAAATACTAATTGAGCTGATTTTGCTACTAAAACCCAATAATTAATTAAAGATTTAGAAACCAAATTAGTACAATTAGCATTTATTCGTTGCTGAATATTTGTTAATTCAGAACTTTTAATATGACAAGTCTTTAAGAATTGGTTAAGAATAAATGGTATAACTATTGCTAGATGAAGGTAGTCAGATATCATAAAACTTTCATGGTGACTAATTGGATTAGGCAAATGACTCCAGTATGCTGGATATTCAAAATTTTTCCAAGCTTCAATAAATTCTTTTTAACCTTCTGGTAAAAATAAATTAACTGTTAATTTTAAAAGTCTCATTATTTTTCTAGCAGTTGCATGATAGATGTCTTGAGGTGTTTGAAGATACTGATCCCATATTAGTTGACTTAATATTGGAATACTATTGTGCAGCCTATATTTAGTTGCAACTAATTTACGCTCTTGCATAGATTTGGCTGATTCAATTTCATAAATTGGCTATTGGTGATATGCTGATATCTTGACAAGTTTTTAAAATCCAAATTATTATTTGTAAAATGTTTTTTAGAAACTTGACAAGTTTGACATCTCTTATTTGCACTATGCCTTTTAACACCAGCAAGATTATTCCCTTGAGGAAGATCTGCTATAACTACCCCTAGACTTGCTATAACCCAGTACTCTTGGCCTTAGATATTCATTATTTGACTACTTTCTAGTAACTTTATTTCTACAATAAATAGTCTAATAAATTCATCAAATGATCCACCAAAGGGCACAAATCCTAACACAAAATGATTTCTTAACTGCTGCCTTAAAGATATTGGCATGTTGCCAAATTGAATATAAACACTCCCAAATGAATGATATATATTCTGATAAGTCCAAAATCATCATAGTAAAGATCCAGAAATAGTTTGAGAACTGGTATATTTTCACTTGGTGGTAAAGAAATAGTTGCATATTCAGAAGGATGTTGATATTTCAATAAGATATTTCGAATCTTCCAATGGCCTTTAAACTTATAGATAATCTCATTTATATAATAAAAATAATGTTCTTTGTTATTAGATAAGCTAGTAACACTTGCATGCCCAATGACTTCTTGTTTGTTGACCAAGTTAATAACTTGGTCAACTAGCTATACCTCTTCTGATTGAGAACTAACTTGCTAGTTGCTGCTTTGAATATTTTTTAGAAGTTTATCAAATTTAATAATTTTTTGAACCTTTAGTTTTAAAATTTCATTTGCTAAAACTATAGCTTGAATTCATCCTAATCTCATATCATTTTCTTGATAATAAATAAAATCACCGCACCGGTATTATAAATTTCTAAAAAAAGTATTAAATTAAAAAAATAAATATCATAAATAAAATAAAAATCAAATAATAAATTTTACTAAATATTAATAATAAATTACCATTATTAATAGTTAATGATTCTTGACCATATAATGGAGATTCAGACTATAAATTACCATACCAGTATTCCGATTTACAAGTAACTTCTTGACCAGGTCCAAAGTACATATGCTATATTAAAGAAGGATTATTTAAAACATTCCAAATTATATCTTTAATTGACAAATAATAGCATTTCTTAATTTTGTTAGACTTTGACAAAGTCTTTATAGTTGAAATACTAATAGGTCTTGAGTATATTGGCATAAGAGGAAGTCTTTGTCTCCATCGTCTAAAGGACCGAATATTTTTAACCACATAATCAATATTGAATTGGGATAATGAAGTATTTCTACAAGTTCATTATATGCATTAGTAGCTAAAGTTTTTTTAAAATAATTAATATTTTTAATTAAAATAAAGTAAGTAAGTTAAAAATTTACATATAAATTTAAATTAAATATTACCAATACTATTCTTTTGTATCCAACAAAATATTAATGCAGTAGTTGTATTTTCAAAATATGGTAAAAAATCATCAATATTTTGTAACAATTTATCTGAATCTAAAGCTTTATCAGCAATATCATCAAAAAATTCATTTTCAGATAAACTATCATTACTTAATTTATTGTAAGAATTAATGCTAGAAGTTTCAGAAATAAATTCACAAGAATCTTTATCTTCGTTTAATTCTTCCGAAGAATATATAGCAGATTCATTATAGTAACTAATATTATTTTCAAAAGAATATTCATTAGATTCTTTATAATACTCCATTGGTTTATCGTATTCCATCGGTTCATTTGAAGAATACACAGTAGAAGGGTCTAACTGAATTGTAGAATTTTTTGAAGAATCTTGTGTTAAAGATTTAGAAGTATTATAAAAAAATCTTTGTCTTAAAGAAAAAATTTATTATTTTTATCATTTTTTGATTCAAATTTATTATGCAACATGTTAATAAAATGATTATAGCAAAAGTATTTAAAGAAATAAAGCGATTTTTTTTTAAAAAAAGGTATTTAATAAACTAGAAAGAGAAATAAGCTAACTTTATAACTTGTTAAAAAAAAAAAAAATTGAGTAAAAATCGTGAACTTATATCTTTTATTTTTTATTAATAGTTAATATTTAAATTTATTGTAAATAATATCATCATTATTTTAATAATAATTAAGCTTTGTTATAACTATACATTTGGTACTTATAATAATACATATAAATTTATATACTATAAATAATATTATTGTTATTTTGTCATATTGATAAGACTTTATGTACATCAAAATTTTGAACAAGGAAATTTCAGCAACTATCTAAGCAAATTTGATAAACTTTTTTTTTGTTTTAATTATAAAGATATATAGTATTAAAATAAAAAAAAGTTCATCAAATTTGCTTAGATAGTTGACGAGATATCTTCAATTAAAGTTTGAAAAACGTCTATTAACCTGAAGTAATAATAAATTTTTTTAAAATTTTGAACAGAATATCTCGGCAATCATCTAAGCAAATTTGATAAACTTTTCTCATTTTAATTATAAAAATATGTAAAATTAAACCAAAGAAAGTTCATCAAATTTGCTTAGTTGATTGCCGAAATATCTTGTTCAAAATTTTTAAAAAAATTTATTATTACTTCAGGTTAATAGATATTTTTCAAACTTTAACCAAAGATATCTCGTCAACTATCTAAGCAAATTTGACGAACTTTTTTTTTATTTTAACACTATATATCTTTATAATTAAACTAAAAAAAAAGTTTATCAAATTTGCTTAGATAGTTGCCGGAATCTCCTTGTTCAAAATTTAAAAAAAAATTGATATACGTAAGAGTTACGCAAATTGATGTACGTACAAAAAAACTTACTGGAAATTAAAATATGAAACAAAAAGTTTAAATTAATATACAGTATAACTCATGTTAATAAAAATTTTATTAATTGAAATTATAAATCGTTCTAATACATAATACAAGTTAAAAATATGCAAACAAAAAGTTTAAATTAATATATAACATATTAATAAAAATTTTATTAATTGAGATTATAAATCATTCTAAAAGTTTAAATTAATACATAACTCAATGGTAATAAAACTTTATTAATTATAAATCATTCTGATAATAGGTTTCAAAGTTAACAAGTACGTAGTAAATTTTTGTTCATATCAGCTTTACCTTATTTGGAAGAACAATCTTCATGATAAATTCTCGATACGTACACCAAATATACTGCTTAATTTTAAATGTGTTAAAAAACCGAAGACATATCAGGATCCAATATGTTTCTGGTTTTTATCTGGCTACTTATTATATTATCAAATCTAGTATAAAAATAAAAAACTGGAAATATATCAAAACCTGATAGGTTTTTATCTAGTTATATAGTTCCTGGCAGGCCTGCCGAAAAAATCACTTTAAAACATGTTGGGATCAGGGCATAAAACTTATTGTAAAATTATGGAAATTTCCATCTATATAAAATAATTTCTATCCAGTTTCAGAAAATCTCCGTCATTTAAATACTTTCAGAGAAAAATCATATTACATTACCAGAAATTTTGGATGTCAAGTGATCACATGTGATTTAATAATATTATATTACAATATGGTTAAATTATTTATTTATTATCATTATTTTATCGTTATTTTATCGTTATGTATTATTTCGGGATAAATTTTAGCTATAAAATTAATTTTGTTATATGTCATACAATTAAAATCAATTAAAATTATTATCGTTATGCA